GAACACCCCTCAAAGATGGGGGCGCGGGGGTCACCTCGAGAGGCTCCTACAGCAACTATGCTCTTCTCTGCTGCAAGAAGGGCCTTCTCGAGGCTGTCGACGGTGAGGGTGGTGGGACAGACCGCAAGGAAGTGGTCCCGGACTACACGAAGGGAGTCAGGGAGGCGAGTGACTAGGAAGTAGAGAGTGATGTACATGGGGGGGGGGTTCTTGGCGCAGAAGTCAGCAGGAAGTGCAGCGCGGGTAGCGAGTGTCACTAGTGCGGAGGTGCGTGATGAGATCAGCGACAGTGGGAAAGGCGGCAAGGTCAGGGAAGAGGAAGGGGAGCATGAGGCGGCTCAGTGCAGCAGTGGCAGGGGAGGAGTAGCGTGCAACTACAACGTCGTACAAGGTCTGAGCACTCTTGTACTGACTAAAGTGCGCGCGCTCAGCGGTAGGCAGGTGGCGACGCACAGCAAGACGTGCAGCAGCATCGCGCGTGGCCCACTGAGAGCGAACAGTGGCGTCAGCATCAGCAGCAGGGGCAGGGACAGCGCCAGAGGTGAGGTCAAAGAGAGACAGACTGTCGGCCCTGTCGCACTGTAAAAACAGCTGCAGGTCGTCGAGCCAGACCTCAAAGTCAATGGCTCGACCCTCAGCGTCAAAAGTGAGGACAGTGGGTGTAGCCATGACGACGACAGTGGCGCAGTGCAAGCAGTAGGGGAAGGGTACGCAGTGAAAGCAGTGCAGTGCTCACCGGGTAGGGCAGGTCGGGCGGCTCAGGAGGAAGGTCGCCAGACGACACGGCCGCTAGGCTGCTGGGCGGCTCGGCTCCCGGGCGGCTTGGCTGCTGCTGGGCGGCTCGGCTGCTGTTGGGCGGCTCGGCTGCTTCTGGGCGGCTCGGCTGCTCCTGGGCGGCTCGGCTGCTGCTGGGCGGCTCGGCTGCTCCTGGGCGGCTCGGCTGCTGCTGGGCAGCTCGGCTGCTGCTGGGCGGCTCGGCTGCTGCTGGGCGGCTCGGCGGCTCGTCTGCTGCTGGGCGGCTCGGCTGCCTCTGGGCCGCGTAGGTAGGGCGGCCGGGCCGCGAAGGTAGGGCGGCGGGTGGGCCGCAGGTAGGGCGGCGGGTGGGCCGCAGGTAAGGCGGCGGGTGGGCCGCAGGTAGGGCGGCGGGACGGCCGCAGGTAGGGCGGCAGACGGCCGCAGGTAGGGCGGCGGGTAGGCCGCAGGTAGGGCGGCGGGACGGCCGCAGGTAGGGCGGCGGGACGGCCGCAGGTAGGGCGGCGGGTAGGTCGCAGGTAGGGCGACGGGACGGCCGCAGGTAGGGCGGCGGGTAGGCCGCAGGTAGGGCGGCGGGTAGGCCGCAGGTAGGGCGGCAAGTGGGCCGCAGGTAGGGCGGCGGGACGGCCGCAGGCAGGGCGGCGGACGGCCGCAGGCAGGGCGGCGGGACGGCCGCAGGTAGGGAAGCGGCGGGGCCGCGTCGAGGAGGCGGCGGGGCCGCGTCGAGGAGGCGGCGGGGCCGCGTCGAGAAGGCGGCAGGGCCGCGTCGAGGAGGCGGCGGGGCCGCGTCGAGGAGGCGGCGGGGCCGCGTCGAGGAGGCGGCGGGGCCGCGTCGAGGAGGCGGCGGGGCCGCGAGGGGAAGGGCGACACGGAGGGTCGCGAGAAAAAAGAACGCGCGCCTCGGGGCGCGCTTCGGTGGGCCCTAGAGAACAGTCCCTAGGATGGGACCTGCTCTGATTCCATGTGAGAATAGAAACGTGAATGAGTTGACTACGAACGAGGTGAGTACAAAATAGGAAACCCTAATTGGGTTGTACCCCTTATGGGATACCCCACTATAGCCTACACAAACAAGTAAGCTATAATGTTCTGACATATACCTTGTGGTCTATGTACTGGTATGAACATGCTTATGTGCTGTAGTGTAGCCCCTGTTGAAAACAAAAATCAAGCCTGCCAACTGAACCGACTGCTCCGACATCAGTGACTGCTTCGGATGTGCGCGCTTCTGAAAATATAGTGGCCAGTGGAGTGTTGTGCTGGCTATCCTTACACAAGGGTGGTTATGAATGGATTGGGCGTGGTGGGCAACACCCACTGTGGGCAGCCAGTTGTGCGTGCGTGGGCGCAGGTACGGAACAGGCCCCCAGAAGTCAGAGTTTTTTGTCTGATTTGCTTGTTTTAGTCTGAGATTTCATATTTTTTTTAGGGTGTACTCTGTAAAATTCAGACTTTTTATTGCCTCAACTCTGTGAAAATCAGATTTTTTTATAGGCTGACTCTGACGTTTCATAGTTTTTCGGGAGTGTACTCTGACGAATTCAGAGTACAAACGAGTCCTTGACTGGTGATTCGGACTTCACGGGTCACAGCAGATTCGCACTGTCAACGCAAAATCGCCTTGACACAGCAAATCCGCGCCTTTCAGCACAAAAATGTCGCCCAATCATAGCAAAGTCGCCCGGACACCACAGATTTGCGTCGTCATAGCGCAACAATTTCGCCCAATCACCAAAGTTCGCGTCTGACAGTGCGGATTCGCCCTGTCACACCACTAGATTCGCTCAGCAAAAGATTCGACCAACCACCACAAGATTCACCCAATCACCACAAGATTTGTCCTCCCTGACACAAGATACGCGTCTGACATTGCAGATTCGTCGAAATCCCCTTAGTCTAGTTTCGGTAACAGGTGCATGAACAATGAATACATTTCTGATGAACATTGAATACATTGATTTCGAATGTTCATACTTTTTTTTTTAGACACTCTGAAATTTCAGCCTTATTTTAATACCAACTCTGAGAGTTTCAGACTAAATCTGTGTACTAGTCTGACGAATCAGACAGGCCAAAAACGAATCTGAGGGCCTGGTACGGAATAACAAACCCCATAGCTCATTCAGCTGCTCTTGATTAATTTTGTGCCTATCTGGATACAAACGCTGTCATAGTTGAATATCACCAGCTCCCAGTCCACCAACATATATGTAAGTTTGTATGAGTGTGTGTGGAAAAGGGTCAAAGAGAGAATATATAGCAGGAGTAATAACGTTTGGAGGGGTTCAGTGTACCGGGAGCTTCAATTCCCATTTGCAGGTCACATAGCACTCGAACATCTCACCATGGCCGTTGGACCTCATGCGAAAAGCAGTTTCGAGTGTTACCTGAAACTCGTTTCAAACATACAGCACAACAGAGATGCAGAGCGAAATGTTTGCGATCGTCGCCGACCAAGTCGGAAATCGCCGGCACGTTGTGGGTGTACCCCTCCGAACCATCCACCGTGACCTCAGAGCTCACACCGTGGTTCCGAACCAGCCGAACACAGCCCAAGGCCCCAGGCAAGCCCAATCCGAACCAGAACACTCAAGGCTCGAACCAAATCCTTAGGCCCGAACCAAACCCAACGTTCCCAGAAGGCCAACAGTGGCGCTCACGACGAGAGCTCACAAGGAGGCAAGGGAGCAGCAGGAAAGAGGCACCACTGGTGGAACGGGGAATGTTGCAGGAACGAAAATGGTGAGAAGGCTCTGCGGGAAATGAGGTGCAGAGCAAAACAGAACAGGGAGGTTCGGGGTGTGATTATTAGTCGCTTGTTTCCCTCCCCGCTGTTGTTGTGGGGCCGTTGTTTGCTGAGAACTTGCGCATCCTCTCATCTTGCAGCGAGACGCCTGTGGTATGTTGAGGTGGACTGGAGGAGCAGCCGCGATGCTGGTGAAAGGCCTGTCGTGTACACAGTGCACATGCAAGCACGTTGGAGCATCCTAGAGGTTCTCTCCTCCAGCGTCAGGGAGAGCCCTACTCAAAGAGGGTTTCTCTTCAGTTGAGCGTCTCGTTTCAGCTCTCATTAGTCGTCGGCCTCATCAGTCGCCCAGCGTCACCATCACAAGCCGAAAATCAGAGACGGGAAATTGGGCCAGCGTTTTGTCTGAGAGTACAGGGCCGCATTTAGGGCTCCGAACGTTGGCTTAATGCGGCATTTGTACGCGGCGCGTTGAATAATCTCTCAACGTGACTGCTGTCTATAAGCACCCTCGCTATCGTCACTTTAATTTCAGGAACCAGCGTACGCACTCTCCGAGCTCCACCGCCTGACGCCTGCCAATCATCTGTAGAGAAAAAAGTCCGTACCGTAGTAGACTCCACATCATCACCCTTCAGCGTTATCATCCTTTCGCGGTATCATCTTTTCGCCTTATTTAACTATTTAACCTGTTCCAGGTCGAAGTGTTCCTCTGACGCAGCTTCTCGACGCCCTTGCATTGCGCGAGCTTAGCCACGGCAAGCGATCCGAACAGCTGCTAGTACGAGCCGATCCCGATCCGACTGGCTTGCCACCTCCCCCAAACTCCGGCAATCTCGTATCCCTCGCGTGCTTTCAAAGCCGAGTGACAGGCTCAGAGACGGGCAGTGACTTGTCGTAGGTCCGCCACGTGCGTGCGACGCATGACAGCTCCCGCGCGCGCCGCTGGTTTGACCATGCGGAGGGTATGCTAACGCGGTAGTGGTAGTTCGCTGGTAGATGCACCAGAGGCCAGTCCCGACCGCCGTCCGTCTCTTAACGGAATCGCCACCTCCTTCCGCTCGTCGCCACAGTGGATGCGCCAGCAGAGGCCCCCTCGTTATTGGGGGCCTCGATAGAAGAAGATCGCGGCGGCGGCGACGCTGTAATCCAGGCAAGCTCCGTGAGATCGAGTGCTGTTCCTGGTATCGCCCTGTCGCAGCTGGGTTCTCCACTGGGTTCTGCGACAGCGGGCGATGCAGCGCGTGCCGAAGCAGGCGGGTTGCTGTCGCAAGACGAACCGACGCAGCTCGAGCAGCAGTCGTTAGTCGTCGCAGACTCGTCGCGGGCAGAGGCAGAGTCGCAAAGAGAGCATTTAGCGAACGTCACGACGCGCACTTCAGAGGAATTGGAGGTGGAGGGGGGGAGGGAGGGGAATGGGGAGGGGGAGGGGATGGAGGTTGGGGGAAGGAAGGGACAGGGGCATCACGCGGAGAACGCGACATTAGTCAAGGCGGAGGAGATGGTGGTAGTGGCGGAAGCGGAGGTTGCAGTTGGGGCGCGGGGCGCGCAGAGTGCTCTTGGCGGAGGCGCGCACGGCGGAGAAAGCAAGGCGCAGGAGGCGGACGCGCTGACGCCGCCGCAATATGCTGCGGGGGGAGCGGAGGATACAGCGAGTCTGGCTTGCGAAGCAGACGGGGGAGCCACGGCGGAAGGAAGAGAGGACGGCGGAAGAGTGGAGGGCGAAAAGTCGCCAGAGGAAGAGAGCGGGCGGGAGGGGGAGAAAGCAGAGCCGCAGGGAGGAGCGGGCGAAAGTGGGGAGACGGACGGTGTGAGAGGAGAGGAAGAAGCGGAAGCAGGCATGGGCGTGGGCGTGGTAGTAGGTGTGGAAGAGCGCGTGGTGGAGTGGAATGGCGAGCGGCAGGGGAAGAAGGTGCAGTGGCCCGACGACCGAGGGCTCACGCTGGCTGACGTGCGCGAGTTCGAACCTAGGTGAGGGTGGCGAGGTGCGGTGGTGGGAAGTGGTGAGGGGGGCTTGTGTGGGGGTGTGACCGCGTGCATGAATGCAAGAGGTGAGTTTGAAGGTGGGTGGGAAGGGGGGGGTGCTACCGTCTATGTCGTCAGTGGCAGTGCAAGGGTCACACACGTAATAATTGTGATAAGCCAACTTATTAGTCTCTATTTGGACCTTTTATGAACTCATCTATACCCATCTCTTCCCGTCCCACAATGCACCCTCTCGCGTTCACTGTTCCCTCTACCACCCCCTTTCCCTCCCTCTCTCACGTACTGTCTGTGCCGGCTGTTGCTCGTGTGCATGCAGTGAGTCGAGCTGTGAGGACGAGGCGAGTGACGACAGGGGGCCAAGCCGCGGCTGTAGCTGTGCCATCCTCTAGCCTTCTAGCCACTCTCCCACCCTCACCCACAGCATCCTCCACCCCGTTTTGCCTTCTCCCAGCCTCCTACACACACCCTGTCCCCTTCCACAGCCTTTATGTCCCTCACACACTTTCTCTCTCTCTCACTCCCAGCCTTTTCCTCCCTGCTCACTTAAGGGACATGTCCACAGCGGAATGTACCCTTATCCTCACTCCACCTCCTCTTGGTCCCAACTCCCTTCTCAACCCACCGCCTCTCCTACATTCCCACACACACCATCATTTAGGCTGTAGAGCCATTTAGGTCGTCCCTGCAAACAGAGCTTGCTTGGAAGATGGCGCAAAGGTTCCTCGTAGCTTTGGTCACTAATGCCATGTTGCGTCCATGCACGCTGCTGCTGCTGCTGCTACTGTACTGTCTAGATATGTATTGTCTAGTGCTTTTGCCCAGTGTAGGTAAGGTACGGTACCTTCTTGGCCGCAATCAACCTGTGATTTGCTGAACGTGCACGTGCTTGCTTGCACCCATATGGGGTGTTGTAATCATCTTACGGTACGGTATTAGGGTGCATTCCTGTGGAGACACAAATGTCTCAATCGCTTTGTGACACACAAAAACAGCATAAACTGTAGTGTGTCCCAATTGCGAGTCGCATTTCCGCGACCATTACTGTATTCTTTATTGGTCAGCGTGAAACGCGCTGACGTCGCTGACGAATTGTAATCCGACTCGTCAATGTGAAAAATTCGCACGCGGCTCGAAATGTCAATGCACCTGGACAGCCTGCAATGCCAATTTCGTGCGGGAAAAAATCCCGCTCGTCGAAACCACACCCCAGCCAAGCGGTTGAAAAAAGGGATGTACAGTCATTTGTGTCACCCAAACAAATGCGCACAACTGTACATCTCGCCTGGTCGCCTAGAGTCACAATACATTGGTTGTGTTGGAAACAATAGTTCCTAAGCGCCTCTGTCGTGTCGAAACACTAAGGCACAAGCGAAGCAGAGCATATCGAGGCACTAGCAAATCAACCCTCGGAGGTTGAAGTAAACCGCTGGAGGTTACGCGAAAGTCAAAGGTCAGCGACCTTTGACCTGACAAATGCAGCGCGACAGCAAGGACACACAACTGACTCTTTACAGAGCAGTTGCCCGAGTCGTCACTGTATCGAACCGCAACAGCAACAGTAAAGTAGTTATAACTGTGTCTCTTCATATTCTCTGTATTCATATATAATCTTGTATCTCTTTGCTTTAATCAATTCACTTAGCCCTCACATACTAGCGCAAGGTGGTTCACAAACTCTTTATTAAGACGCTTCCGCTACTACATCAACTCTACCCAGAATTCACCTTTGCAAAGATCCTAAGGGCTTCTTCAGCCCAACATGGTATGAGAGCTATCAGGGGGAATTCGACTTATATACCAACAGTGTCAATCAGCATGGCTACACAAAGGGGAAGGAGCAACTCCAACGGATCCCAGGGCACTACTCCTACTCCACCTCCTGCCTCTGGCCTACAGACAGAGGAGGGCACGGCAACAAGACCCAGAGCAACATCTACAGAGACTCCCGCAAATCATCCTGCGGACTTCGACCAGAGCATGATGGAGAAGTTCTTCTCCTTCATGTCCTTCTACGAGCAACATCAGCAATCGGCACCTGCGCAATCACACAACAACAACAACAACGGCGCAACACCCATGAGTCTCGACGGCTCATCGTATGCACGAGGAAATCAGCAACAACAGCCTACCTTTGCTCCGTACGAGCGCGAATCCATCAGCTTCATGCCACACCCACAGCCCTCACCTGGACAAGAAAAACAACTGGACGCACTACAAGTTCAGTCGCAGTTCGCACATGTTCTGAAGATGCAGACGTCAAGACCTTTCGATGGAAAGGATTTCTTCACCTGGTCGTTCGAGTTTGAGCTGATTATGGAAGGCGCGCAGATACTCGGGTTCTTCGATGGGTCCCTGCCATACCCAACAAACGGCACACAGTACGAGAAGCAGCAGTAGACCTATCAGTCAATGATGGCGTACACGATCCTACTGAGAAATATCATATCGACTCAACAACAGAACATAAGGACTTACCGAGGTTACGGTAACTCCGCGGAGCTCGCGTACAACCACCTGAAGAGCCTGTATCAAGCAACAGACAGTGTAAGTCAAAGTCGGTTAATGGCACAACTGACAACGGTTGAAATGAAAGCAGGGGAGAAAGGAATGGCGTATATCAGTCGATGTCGCGAATTGCGCGACAAGCTTCTTCGATGCGGAGGGTCGATTTCTGAAAACGCCTTCGTGACAGTCATCATCGGCGGCCTCGGTCCTCAATGGCGCGCCACAAAAGCCATCCTCCGAGCTCACGGAAGAATCTCCGAAACAGTGCTCTGCGCCGAAATCCATGCCGAGCAGCAAGACATGGACCTGCAAGAAGAACGACACAAAAAGAAGACTTCAGCACCAGAGTTCGCGTTCCACACCCAGCGACGCTACAACAACAACAACAACCGGCAGCAACAACTGAAGCCAATACCTCCGTTCTGCCACATCTGCAAAACTTCAGGACACCCGCGCACGCACTGCCCGAATCGTCAACAATCAACAACCCCGCAGCGGCAACTTCGGCCTTCAAGCAGCCAAGTCGCCTCAACGCATACAAATCCTACGACTCAGATTCAAGCTTCAAAGGCTTCAACAGGACAACCTGCACAAGAAGCAAGAAACATCGTCAGCTGCATGACAAAGATAACAGACTCCTGCATCACCGAGTCACCACCACACTACTCACCGGAAGAACAACTCGACGAAACCACACCCCGCCGCGAGTCACTTCAGCCGAACCCGACATACGCCGCCATCGCTCAAAGCGAACCATCCGGAAGGGACACTTGGTTCTTGGACAGTTGCTGCGGACAGCACATGTGTTCCTCAGGACGCTTCGTTCAACGAGAACACCAGCTTCAACGCGAAGTCGTCATTACAGTCGCCAACAACCAAAACCTGCGAACACGACGACAAGGCGTAGTTCAACTTCAGTCAAGGGAAACAAACGTCGTACTACAGATGTCAAAGGTACTAATCGCGGAGGGACTCGGCTACAACTTACTGAGCGTCAGCCAGCTGATGGCGAAGGGGATTCATCTCGAAGCAGACAGTACCACTCAAGAATTCAAGCTGTATCACGGGAGAGGAGGACTCTACATCGGCAAGGCGGTCCTCAAGAACAGCGTCCTCGTTCTTGATTTCGTCCCTGACCTTGGCACTGCCGACAGCGACGCCATCGTCAACTTCACCGACTGGACACACCCTCCGGACCTTGATTCAGACTTCACTCCAGAAGGCTTCTGGTACTCACACACCATCCCTGAAACAGAAAGAACAAGGGCGTTAGCAACAATCCAGACAACATCGGTAGCAGCAGAGACAACATCGGCAGCAGCAGAAACAACATCGGTAGCAGCAGAGACAACATCGGCAGCAGCAGAGACAACATCGGCAGCAGCAGAGACAACATCGGCAGCAGCAGAACCATCAACTGGAGCAGTAGGAATGTCAACACCAGTTGCTGGTCCTTCAACGACACCACTCCTCATCGACGACACACCACCAACACCAGCGCAACAACTGCACCCAGCACCACGAGAAGTTCATCGCAGCACCAACTTCATCGCCAGCTTCTACTCCAACTCTGACATGTATCGACGATCACCCGGACATCGCGCCAACGAAAGCACCTGGCACGCACGGTTGGGACACCCAAGCAACACAGTATTAAACAATACAATAAGAGCAGGAGTACTTGACAAGGACTCACTCCTACTAACCGACGGACGAGAACTTCAACGAGCGCGAGGAACGTGCTTCACCTGCCCTGAAGGCAACTTACCGCATCGACCATTCGCATCACATCACAACCCAAGCGCTCTCGCGTACGCACCACTCGAGAAGGTGTATAGCGATATCCTGTTCAATCGGGAACCAGGACAAGTCAAATACAGCTACACGATCACCTTCATCGACGCCGCCACCCGTTACGTCTGGCACCTAAACCTACCCAGCCGCGACATGGCATTCGCAGCCTTCGTTGCCTGGCTACTAGTAGCAGAGAGAGAGTCGGGCATACAACTGAAAAGCTTCTAGTCAGACGGAGGAGGAGAATACACCTCTCAGCGGTTCAAGCAGTACCTGGCGGAAAGGGGAATCAAGTAGCTCATCTCCCTTCCCTACGCCCATCAGCAGCAAGGAGTAGCAGAGAGAATGAACAGGACCCTGCAGAACACCATGCGCAAACTGCTACGTGGCATGCGGCTACCCAACCTCCAATGGCCTGCAGCAATGGACCACGCTGTCATGCTGCACAATTTGCTGTCGTCGTCATCGCTTCCGAACAACGCATCACCGCATCTGCTATGGACAGGGAAACAGGGCAGCACAAAAACGTTACGAGTTTTCGGGTGCATGGTACAGTACCGACCCCTAGCAGCACGAGCGGGCCGATTTTCTCAACGAGCACAGTGGGGACTACACCTGGGCATCGAAAAGAACTACAACGCGTGGAAAATCTTCGACGTCCACTCAAAGGAAACAGTAGCAGCACGTGACGTAATTTTCTATGAACGACTCACGCTCCAGACGTACCTTGCCAACTTGCAAGAAGACGAAGACCCCACAGGTGGCCTTCGTGGTGACCGAGCCTTCGCCTCAGCAGCGGACGAGGCAGACTGGGACGAGCAGAATGTGGACAACGCATCAGAAGAAGCCGGACCTCTTCCGTTCTGCTCCGTCGACGTTCCCATGGACGAAGACAACCCTCGCGAAAGTGCCAACGCCGAAACCTTCTACCACTTCGCCGACAACGGTTACGTAACACCCGCGACAGTCAACACCAATGAAGCAGAACGAGTAGGACCAAATTTCATACCTGATCCAGAAACGGGAGACGAAGCAGCTTATCCCGAGGATGTAAATCTTCCCCGCTACTCACAGAGTGGACTGCAGATCCTCGGGCTCGTCACCGCAGTCCACGGCTCTGTCGCTCCTAAAGAGCCTACGACGGTTCAGCAGGCTCTGGGGGGGGAACATAAAGAAAAATGGCGCGAAGCCATGGACAAGGAGCTGAAGGCACTGGAGGAACGCAACACGTGGAAGGTGGTTCCTATCGGTGTGGCACGGAACAAGACAGTACTCACCGGAAAATGGGTCTTCCGTGTGAAGACAAAGGCCGATGGCACCATCGACAAATTCAAAGCACGCTGGGTCGTTCGTGGCTTCGACCAAGAGCACGGCCGCGACTTCACCGAAACATTCGCTCCAGTCAGCCGACACACCTCGCTACGCATCCTTCTCGCGATCGCCGCCATGAAGAAGAAGAAGCTAAGGCAAATCGACGTCGCCAATGCATTCCTCTACGCACCCGTCGACGCCGAGATCTTCGTCGAGCTACCACACGGCTCCAGCACGGACTCGAAACACGTCTGTCAACTACTCAAGTCACTCTACGGCATCAAGCAAGCCCCGCGACTATGGCAACAATACCTACACGCTCGACTCATTCGCATCGGCTTCAAGCAACTACCGCACGACCAGGGCATGTACCGGCTCTCGAAGGGTAACGACTACGTCCTGCTAATCGTCTACGTAGACGACCTACTCTACATTGGCTCAACCGAAGGTGTTACAACCTGGTTCGAAGGGGAGTTACAACAAGACCTCACACTCACAGTCTCACCTACCGTCACATAGTACCTCGGCCTCAACATCCGAGAAGAAGAAGACGCTATCTACCTCAGCGCCACGAAATACGCCGACACCATCGCCAAGCGTTTCGCACTCACACCAACAGCTATCTCCACACCGTACCGCTACACGACAGTAAACAACAAGGAAGGCTCCGCTCTACTCAAGCCCGCCGGCATCCGCGACTACCAGAGAAAGCTGGGCTGCCTTCTCTTCGCAGCTGTCACCTGCCGCCCAGATCTATCCTACTCTGCAAGCCAGCTCGCCACCTACCTCAAGAGGCCTGAAGCGGAACATCTGGCGGAGCTCGACCGCGCTCTTCACTACCTTGTCAGTACCCCGACGGTCGAACTGACTTATCATAAGAACGCAACTACAACGCCTAAGCTAATCAGCTACGTCGACGCAGTCCATGCAGGCGACTCCGACAACAGGCGATCACGCACCGGCTACATCTACCGTCTCGAGCCTATCGGGCCTATCTCCTGGCAATCGAGCAAGCAAGAACTAATTGCTCTCTCGTCAGCTGAAGCAGAAAATATTGCACTCTGCTCAGCCACCAAGGAAGGACTCTATCTTCGCGATCTACTAGAAGAAGCGAAGTTAGCCGAGTTACACAACTTCACCCTGTTCTGCGACAACCAGTCGGCAATTCGCATCGCCAACAAGAACGGCTTCGCGAGCAGGACGAAACACATCGCCCTACGATACTTCTTCGTGAAGGACGAGATCGAGAAAGGAAGGCTTGAACTGTCATACTGCCCCACGTCCAAGATGGCAGCTGATTACCTGACCAAGAAGCTCGGAAAGCAAAAGTTCGAATATTGCATGCTGCTGACTAGACAGAGCCACGTCAGCGACACTCCAGAAGCGAAGGGGGGTGTTGGAAACAATAGTTCCTAAGCGCCTCTGTCGTGTCGAAACACTAAGGCACAAGCGAAGCAGAGCATATTGAGGCACCAGCAAATCAACCCTCGGAGGTTGAAGTAAACCGCTGGAGGTTACGCGAAAGTCAAAGGTCAGCGACCTTTGACCTGACAAATGCAGTGCGACAGCAAGGACACACAACTGACTCTTTACAGAGCAGTTGCCCGAGTCGTCACTGTATCGAACCGCAACAGCAACAGTAAAGTAGTTATAACTGTGTCTCTTCATATTCTCTGTATTCATATATAATCTTGTATCTCTTTGCTTTAATCAATTCACTTTGCCCTCACATACTAGCGCAAGGTGGTTCACAAACTCTTTATTAAGACGCTTCCGCTACTACATCAACTCTACCCAGAATTCACCTCTGCAAAGATCCTAAGGGCTTCTTCAGCCCAACAGGTTGTTTGTGACACAACATTTGGCAAATTTACAGGCGCGACTCGGGAAATCAGGGATTGAGACACAAGTGTCCCCGCAGGAATGCACCCTTAGTGTAAAGCATCATTCTCAATTCTAGGGGGCTCACCTGTTACTGTACATGGTCCATACCAGGGCTCTCCATAGAGGTCGTCTCTTTTCTGAGATACCGGTATCACGGTACCAGTATTACCGTAGTAATTTTTTTTTAGAGTGTTCCAAACACTCTTCATTGAAGAAAACAGTCTGGCATACTGTACATCCCGAGGGTTGCTCACTTTCCGTCCAGTAAATGAGGTTTGGTTACGGCATGGTGTTGTGCTCTGCAGAGCAGGTTTGTTGCGTCATTTTGAAACGCAACGCATTAATTGAACGCTTCCCGGACTAAAGGAACCCTTCTCCATTACACTACCTAACCTAACGTATGCTAGATCAGCTTTGATTAGTGCTGTGTCGCATGCAGTCTCCAACAACGTGCTTTGACTAAAAAGCCTCCTTTTGGGCTTTTATTCAACTAATATTGGCACACACACATACCGTATTCTTGCCATGCCATGCCATCACTCCCAAGTCACTCCAGCAACAGCTGAAATGGTTAGTACGGATCAAAGAGACAAGGAGATGCAGCATAGCCCGTGCCTGCTGAATATTTTGACGCCAAGCCCAACCCATACTGTGCTCGGCAATGTGCTGCTGCTGCTGCACTGGCAGCTGCTGCAGCAGGATCCATTCCTGACAGAAACGCCGTCGGCTTCGCAGCAAAAGCATCGCCTGGCCCACCCAACGCATGGCCTGGCCCGCCGAAAGTGCCGCCCAAGTGCATATCCAGCCTTCCCATTCCCTCTAATCCTGGCAAGCTGGAGGCAGCTCCTAAGCTGCTCAGAACTCCCATCCCTCCCATGCTCCCCATGCCCCCCATTCCCCTCATGCTCCCAAGATTCCCCATGCTTCCCAAGCCCGAGCCTAGTCCATGGCTTGGCAAGGCATGAGAAAACATGCCCCCATGGAGGCTAAGCCTGGGAGATTGAAGCATTTGGAGCCGGTCGTCGATCCCGCTGTAATGCATTGCAGAAGCGGCAGCGGCAGCGGCAGCAGCAGCTGCGGCTGCAGCAGCAGCTGAAGCAGCCGGAGGGTCGTATAACGAAGAGGAGAAGGGATGCGAGCCGAGGGAATGCGGGTGCGGATGCGAGGCGAGTGCGTGTGCGTGTGCATGCGTGTGTGTGTGTGCGTAGGGCTGAGTCTGCGAGTGGGAGAGCTGGGCGTGGGCATGCGAGTGCTGCGCTGCAGCGATCTGGTACTGCAGGCGCTGCAGGCGGCGTGAGAGGTCGGTGGCTTGGGATCGCAGCAGGCGATTCTCCCGCGTGATCTGGTTGAGGTTCTCTGAGGCTGTTGTGAGGCGCACCGCCATGTCCGTGTTGTGCCCTTGCAGCCTGCACGCCTGCAGTGGTGGAGCAAGGGGGGGGAGGGGGAGGTGCTGAGAGGTTGTCGTTGCTGCGGCGTCAGGAGCAAAATCATGTGGGACAAACAGGAAGGATGCAAGCATTGGATGCAAAGCTGGGGCATATGAGAGTGGGAGGAAGGGAAGAAGGGAGGGAAGCAGGAAGTGACGGATGCACAGCCGGACGGAGGGAGACGGGAGAGCGAATGTACCCTCGGGCCCAAGGTATCCCGGAGCGCCTGCACCGTACCTTGAGCTTCATTGCATCCACGTGCGTTTGTTTGCGCAGCCTCGACCGTCGAGCAGACTCGCGGTTGCTCACCATGCGCCTCTGCTTCCTGTCCTCCCGCGCATCCTCCCCACCCCCGTATGGCGGAACATGGCTTCCCCCTTGGCTCCCCGTTTGCGCCTCCCCTCGCCGGCTGGTTCCCCCATGGCTTCCGCCCACCCCTGACGCGCAGCCCGCTTCTCCCGCTGCGGGAAACGCCGCCGCGTGGTTTCCCCCGTGTCGCGTGTCCGCGCAGCGGTTATCTTCTTCCCACGCGCCCGCGCGGCCGCACGGCGCGGTGTCCTCCCGCCAATCCGACCCGCCTCCAGAGACATTGTCGCTCGCGACCGTCGCAGCATCTCCGGCAGTAATCGCGGGCGACAGCGCCGCCGTCGCAAGGGTTCCAAGCGTCGCTGGCGCGTCGCCAGCGCGATCCGCGCAGGCCTGGCGCCTCGACCCGTTCGCGCGCTCCGAGGACGGCCCGTAGCAGCCCGTGCTGCTCGTCTCGCGCTCGCGCGTTCCCCGCTGATTGGCTTCCGCCGCTACCGCGCCCTCCCACTCCCGCGCGACGTCCATGCTCAACCACTCGTCGTCCTCGTCCGCACCCTCCGCCGTCGCCGCCGCCTCCGTCGCCGCAAAGGCCGCTACACCTCCCACCGTCGCCGCCGTCGCCGCAAAGCCCGCCGCCGCATTTCCTTCCGCAGTGCTGCCGCTCGCCATTCTCGTCGCGGACGCCGCAACGGCACCGCCGCAGCGCGGATCCATCCATCGCGGCGCCGCGTTCGCGTTGCACGATCGGCGCGCCGATCGCGAGGACGATCCCCACGCGTCGACAGCCGTCGATGGAATCGTCATCGCGACGGCCACAGCGTTCGTGATGCCGCTGCCGGCAGCGCCGTCTCCGCTGCCTTCCCCATGGCGATCAGGGTCCGGTGGGCTAAGAACCCTCTTGCCATTGCCGTTGCCGCCGCCGTTGCCGCCGCCGTCGTCATTGCCGCGGCCATCGAGAGAATAAAGTCCCGCACCGCCATTGCCGTCGACGTCGCACTTGGCAAGTCCGCTGCTCCATGCAGAGTCGCCCCCTCCCGCCAGTCCCCCCCAGGGCCCGCCATTGTAGCAGTCGCTGGGAATGGCGGCGGCGGTCGCGGCAGAGGGAAGGTGCGTCATGGCGAGAGCTGTCGCGCCCGGCGACATGTGCGGACGCTGCTTGGAGTGTGCGGGACGGGACGCGACGGCGGATGGACGGGAGACGGACGAGCGGAGACGAACGGAGTGTTGAAGACGGTCGGACCAACTCGCCGCGTGCAATATGACGGCGCCGTGTGCAATACGGCCTCGTAACCTTCGAGTATCCTGATTTGGGTGGATCTGAGATGTTTATATTGACGGGTTTTCGAACGATGCTTGATTGCACGGCACTCGCATTACTAGCAGCCGTAGATCGTCTTGTACGCAAGTTGCGATGCGATGGTCGCGGCGCCTGACGGTGACCGTACTAGATCTACTGGGTAAAGCGTAACAGTGTTACTAGAGATGGAAAAGCGGATGATGCTAGAACCTCGAACCATGCGATCAACGGCTGCGGCTTCAGATGATTCTAGAGGTCCGCATTGTGTACTGAATTTAAGTACAGGCCCTGGGATAAAGCTGTCCTGAGCTATGGCCCTTTTTGAAAAGGGAAAGCCGGTCCTGAGACATATACAGTCATGCCCCTATTGCCTTCCTCTTCTCCCAGGAAAATCATTGTCACTCTCGCTCGCTAGCTACCCTATCCTCAATCCCTGAGGGCCCTTATCCACTTCGGCGCTTCGACAGTGAGGCATTGCTGCGGTGCGGCGGCTCTTGCTAGCACTCTCCCGGCCTTCTCTACACTTCCTCTGATCTGGACTCTGGGCTTCAATTCTTAGAGGGAAGCCTGAACGATCCTTCGAATATTTTCCTCGGGTGGAAGCATTCTGGTCTGGCTGGATAGAAGCTTGGCCTTCTGGGGCTTGATTGATTCCTTCCCCCTGAGTCCTGACCTGATCCTGATGCATGCCCCCAATCATCTCATCCACTCGTAAATGCATTGCTCCGAGGCGCGACTCGTATCGGGTTTGATCGAGTGGCGCACGCACTACCTTCCAAGGTTTCTAGGATGCGCTGGGTGGGTGTTGTGCTGGCGATTAGGGGGTGTGTGAGGGGGGTGTGTATTATGAGTGTCAAGGATGCCAACATAATACACCTGATGCCTATTTCAGTCCCCTTCCCCGTCTTTCCCTGTGCTCCTCTCTCGAGCGCTCGCTCCCCATGGAGAGAATGGGACTATATTTGGGTAGCCTAGCGTGTCTTGTCTGGGAAACTCGAATGACTTATTCGAGGTCAAGAGTATCTTGCTTTTGTCGGGGGCCTGTAACGTTCATGCCGCTGGCTGGAAATGTCAACCACTGGGCGTATGGCGTAGCAGTAGGCCTGTTCAGAATGGACGCTGGGTGAGATTTAGGGTGTACGCGAGGAAGTACTGTACACCTAGTCCGCGGTATTTTAACCACGTGAACTGTTTTGCTTCAAACACCCTTTGTACATTTTTGGGTAATGAAATGGGCACCCAGAGACATCAAGGTTATTGTTTCGCAGCCGTAAGCATTTTCTTCTAAAGAAACTCACACTTAGTGCTCCAAAATAGAGGGCGGATCGGCATCGACCAGGTTTTGACTGCCGTCGCCTCACAAAGGGTATGCTAGATTCTACCTTCAATAAATTTCAAAACTACTCGTATAAAAAAGTTTGACCAAGGAGAAGTACCCTCGCGTGGTTAAGATAGCGGCGGTTAAAATACCGCGGACTAGGTGTATGTACATTATAGATAAAGAGCTCTCTCTCGAACCAGCGCCCCGTGTGTTCACTCTAATCAGGCGAATTGGTTAGGCCTGGCAATCAAGCAAGCCCGCGGGCAGAATGTCTCCGAGCAAACAATTATGGGAACACTCCAGTGGGACACGTGGATTGGATTGTTTTCCGCTTTCCGCCGTCCCTTGGCTGGCTGGTTGCCGCCCGCCGCACCTGAGCACGTCATCTTCTCCATAATCGTGTCACCATGGCGGAAGATTAGTGACGGGGAGGGGAGAGCGAAGTGACCGCGTTTTGCTCCTGGGGCCCTCCCTGCTCCTTGGGCCTTGAGCTTTGGCGCAGTTGATCACCACTAGTCCATATGGCGCGGCTTCCCTCGCTTCCCTCGCTTCTCCTACACCGCTGATTTACAGTGTGAGTCTACGAGGCCTGTCTGATCTGCTGGCAGGATTGGTTGCGAATTGATTTAGGCTGGGGTACAACTGGCGCTACTGGGATGGGGAAAGTTGCAACACAGCCTGAGCCAGCGACAGCCACAGCCCGCTTGCTTCGCCTTCCACGAGGGAATGCATGGTGGGGTCGGGTCAGCGGGAGTCTGGGGTGGGGTGGGGACGAGTGATCGAGCCGCACTGGCACGAATTCTCCACACCCACCGCACCACACACAGAAGTGGAACAAACGATACAAAAGTATGGGCTGGTGAAATAAATTATCGTGGATGTTGATATCCTCCTTCCTTCCTCGAAAACGTTTCTAATGCGAAGCGTTTGCTCATGAAGAAAACAACTACACCAAGCTATGTATCTGTATTCAAAACGTTTTCGAAACGGTCTGAACCCCGAGTAAGTTTTACAGACACGTCATAAAACATTACCGCCACGTCTGGATGAGCTGTAGTGGGGAACACAGAGGCCGCATGTGGATAAGGTTCTAGGGTTTATCAGATGCGGACCTCTCGCACTTAGTGGGCATTGGGCAAGTTGTTTACGTGTTCCATGCATATAATGACAAGCTGGTTCCCGTACACTTGGTGTATGCATTCCAATGCCTCTAGACTACACCTAGTTCTCGATAATTGCACACCCCCTACCCTTTTTTCCGTATGTACCCTTTACGGACTTTGACTTGATGCGATGGACACCCAGAGATTACGGGACTAGACAGCTGGCAGGTGCCTTCAGAAAGAAACTCGCACTTAAAATTCCGGGTTGGGGTTTCGTTAGGTTTGGGTTCTCTTTTATATTCTTGGTGCACCCCGACAGTTCACGAAAATACGTCGGACCCTCCTCCGCGGTTTTCCTAGACGTTGGTAACTACCCTACGAAACCGATAGGGGTAGGGTAAGTACCCCAGGGTGTGCGATTAAGGGGTGTGAAATAATCGAGAACAAGATGTAGCTCTCTACAAGGAAGACTCTTTTTCATTCGTACCCTTATTTACCGCGTACACAACTGTTCCCGCCAACAGTAAGCTGTTACCACTCGCGACAATTGCCTCGACCACTGTTCCCGCCACTGTTCATATCACGACCCAACCTCACGGCTCGGTTGGTAACCCGTGCACTGGACCTCCGCCTCGACATTCGCGCTACGCCCGTCGCGCGCCCCACGTTTGTTAAGGCGAAGCCTGGCACGCGCCTGATTTCGCGTGTAGCAGCCCTCTGCGTAGTAGCGAGGTTTCGCATACCGCATACCGGTTTTACCAGTATTGCGGTATTCGCCAAGTACACTCCAATCTGTGCGCTTCGGTATGCACATTTCGACATTGGACCAGGAAAATGACGACATTGCACAAACGCGTATGTGCAACTGTCAGTATTGCAAGAACCTGCGCAACTACTCCTGGGCAAGTAGAAATATACCTGACGGTATTTTCACTTGGCGGTCCCAACCTGGAACCGCATACTAGAGTAGGTGCTTGCACGTTTTCCTTGAACAACGTTCTTCATGAACAACGTTCTCGTAGAACGTTCTTGCACACGTCACTATGTTTCTCTATAAGGTTCATGTTGTTTCTGTTGTAATCTATCAATTAGTCAATTACTTTCCTTTTGTTACTGGATACCAAGCCTATTGCTGTATACCAAGCATACTGTTCTTCAAACCCAGCAGCCGAGCCGCCTTGCCGCAGAGCCGCCGAGCGGCCCTACTGTCGAGCCGTTGCTGTTCCTACCGGTGCGCCCCGGCCCTCCTTCCTCCGACCGGTGAGCTCACTCCCTCCTAGGCCACTGCAGTCATGGCTAACCCCCGTGTCCTTACTTTTGATGCTGAGGACCGTGACGTTGACTTTGAGGTCTGGGTCGATGACCTCCAGCTGTTTCTCCAGTGCGATAGGGCAGACGGACTCTCTCTGTTCGATCTCACCTCTGGTGCCTCTCCTGCCCCGCGTGCTGCTGCTGACATCACTATTCGCTCACAGTGGGCCACACGCGATGCTGCTGCTTGCCTTGCTCTGCGTCGCCACTTACCGACCACTGAGCGTGCACACTTTAGCCAGTACAAGAGTGCTCAGACCTTGTACGACGCTGTGGTTGCACGCTACTCTTCCCCTGCCACTGCTGCACTAAGCCGCCTCATGCTACCGTACCTCTTCCCTGACCTTGCTGCCTTCCCCATAGTCGCTGACCACTTCCTCTCAGTTTGCCCCACCACTCTCACCGTTGACCTCCTCAGGAAGAGCCTCCTAGCAGTAGAGAAGAGCATAGTCGCTGTAGGAGCCTCTCGTGGTGACCCCCGCACCCCCGTCTTTGAGGGGTGTTCCCCCTCCCACCTCTTGCCCTCTGTTGCCTCTGCTGCTGCGGCCGACCTCGTTGGTTTCGAGTCGCTCGGCGCTGCGTCTGCCCCCAGCGGGGACGCCGCACCGGCAAGGGCAAGGGGGGCAAGGGCGCTAGAGGGGCTGGCGGGGGCGGTGGAGGTGGTGGTGGAGGCAGTGGAGGGGGTGGGGGTGGTGGTGGGAGTGGTGGCGGGGGTGGAGGTGTCGGTGGCAACAGTGGAGGCAGAGGAGGCGGCGGCGGTGGCGGAGGGAGCGGAGGCGGCGGAGGTGGTGGAGGCGGCGGAGGCAGCGGAGGTGGCGGAGGTGGCGGCGGCAGCAGTGGACCTGGTCGCAGCTCTGCGAAGAGGAGTGGCTCCGGTGGTGGTACGCGCCAGCAGTAGCAGTGCAGTCGTGAGACCCTGTCCTCTCAGCAGCTACATGAGTGGTACGCTGCGCGTCAGCGCGGTGGGGGTACGGGTCCCTGCACCTACGTTCTCCGCACCGGCGACCGCGCTGGTGAGCAGTGCGGGGGCCCGCACTCCACCCAGCGCTGCTTCGGCCGCCTGACGGACGCGTGGCATCACCAGTTCCCTAAGGCGTCAGTGATCCCTCGC